GAATTACCATTGTAACTGCCGAAGGGGAAGGGGCCACTGGAACTGCCGAAGAGGAAGGGGCCGCTGGCGTTGCCGAAGAGGTTGGGGGCGCTGGGCTATCATCAGCAGCATCAGTGATGATGATGCAGTTTCTGATGGTGATGCTGATGATGCTGATGCTGATGACGGCGATGATGGGCTCTATCGAGGGGGGGCTCAGCCGTGGAACCCCCCGGCCCCCTCCTGCTACTCTCGAGCCAGGGTGGCGGGTTCATGCGTGGCCGATCCGCCGGCCGTGCCCGCGTCGGCTTTGCGATCGCGACGGCGACGACAACGACGGCGCCTGCGTCGATGGCGATGTCGATTGTGATGATGATACTGCTGATAAGGATGCTGGTGATGACGACGCTGGCGATTAGACTATGCTGGTGACAACGATGAGGAGACTAGTAATGATAATGACGCTGATGATGATGACGTTGGCGGCGACGATCTTGGCGGCGCCGATGATGCCGATGACCCTTCGCGCCCCTTGTCGAGCCAGCGCTGGAGCCCTCGACGTGACCAACGGTAGCCCCCTACATCAGGATTGCCACCGAGGCGCCCCCAGAAGTATTTATCTAGGCGCTGCCCAGGCAGACGCCTCCTTGGCGTTCTCGGAAGTCCACGCATTGGCCTCCGCCGTGGCGGTGATGGCCCCGCGCTCGATGAGACGCTTGAGCTCGCGGATCATGGCGTCGCAGCCCTCGCGCGCAGTGGGCGGGCCAGCCGCGCGCTGAAACTTCTTCGGGGCTGCGTTCTTGATGCAGTGCATGAGGCGGGCATCTCCAGGGCGATTGGCCGTCGGCTGTCGCTCGGCCATCCTGACCGGGAGCTTCAACGCATGAAGCGTCGAGCTCGTGATCGGGGTCGTAGCCGAAGTCGGAGTCGGGCCCGCCCTCGAGGATCTCGCGCGCCCGAGCAGCTGCAGCCTGCTCTTCTTGGTCGCAACCGGCGTTTTAGCGCGTCTGGCCTTCGTGGCCGGCTCGGTGGATTTCGCGGGGGTTGGGGCAGGGCCGACGGCCCTGCCCCTCAGCCCTGGCAAGAGAAGGATTGCGCTGACGAGGAAGAAGCGGGTGGGCAGCATTAGCAGCAGGAGGGAACCCGACTCGATGCGAATCGGGTCGCATCGGCGCCGGGGCGGACCCGAGAGGGACGAGGGGGAGGAGGGCAAGGAGGAGAGAAAGGGATCGGGGGGGACGGGAGAGGAGGATGAGGGAAAGGAAGACAAGAAAGCGTGCTTGAGCAAGAGCACGAATCGGCATGGCTAGCAATGCCTCGTCCTCTTCGTGCGCGCCATAGGTCTCCAGCTTCTGGCCACCGCGCTCGGGGTCGGGGATGCGCAGCGCAGGGCCTTGCAGCCCCTGAATATGCGGCCCCCAGAGTCGGCGCGCTCGGCGCTCCGCTAGGCATCGCCCGCTTCTTGGCACACTACGCGCAATTGCACTCCGCGCGTGTGATCTCGCGCTCTGAGTCCGCGCCGCCCGGGCTGATGACGTCGTCCGCGGTCCCGCCGAAGCCCAAGGCATTCGCCCTCAGCGCGTCGTAGTCGCCCCCATCAGCGGCGCCCGCTGCTTCGAAGAGACCCTGCACTTCATCTGGCCCCAACTCGCTCTGGACGGGCAACGGCTGCTCGGCTGCCGCAACGCCCTCGTCGCCGCCAGCATTGGGCAGTTCGATCTCATTCGCGGGGTTGTCGACGATCTCGCGCCAGTAACGGCGCCATCCCTTGTCAAGTCGTAGGCGTGACGACGCATCGTGGCGCGCCAGTTGTCTGCAGCCTCCGCCGCCCGCTTGAAAGTGTGCCTCTCGTCGAGGTCTTGGAAGGTGTATCTGCAAGTGTGCTCGAGGAAGAAAGTGGCGCGCAGGGTCGGCTGCGAGGGAAAGCCGCTGGGCGCGACGTCCATAATGATGTCCAAGACCTTGGCGTGCTTCCTGAGGCCCTCGACGTCAGCCGCCTTGCCCCTGCCCGCGCGGCAGTCCGCGTCGTCCCAACGAAAGCCCAGGGCACGCTGCGTGAGCTTCGCGAGTGGCTCCAGTTGTTCCGCGAGCTCGGTCTGCTGGAGGTGGGAGGTCACAAGGCCGGGTGCCCGAGTACGCGTCCCCATTGATGGTGCAAGTAGATGGTCGAACGACATCGGGCCTTAAGAAAAGCTTAAACCAAAACAGCTTCGGAGGAGGTCCAAGAAGCGGAGGTGGTCGCTGCGGGGGAGGAGGAGCAGAGGAATTTCACAGGCACTGTGCCCTGGCGAGAGCTTCGCCCCAGGGAGAGAGAGCGGCCAGGAAACCTGGCAGCCCGACCTTAGGCAGTGGCTGACCTTGCAACCAAGCCAAAGAACGCCACGCCGATCGAGCGGTGGCCCCACCAGGTGGTAACGGCCAGCATGCCTCAGGGGACCTCGGCAAAACCAGCCACACCGACTAGCAGCGGGCACACGACCAAGCGGAGGAGGAGCAGAGGAGGAGGATGAGGAGGAGGAGGAGGAGGAGGTGGCAGAAGGACTCACATTTGCGTGGGTACGGATGTTTTGGGGAGAGGGCAGAAGCTTTCCCGGGGTGCAAAAGGGACGGTCTGCGCGGACACAGCCAACACCGAAATCAAGGCGGACATAGCCACATGCGCAACATCATCCGAATCAAACTGCAATCAATAAGATGTATGACTGTTTAAACAAAAATTGTGACATCGGGAACAGAATCGCCCTGTCATCACGATGCTGAAATGCCTTACGATTCTGGCGAGTTCAACTAGTGGGCAAGGGACCCCCAAAACATCCTCACAGGAGACCAGGACATCCTCTCGTTTGGCCGCGCGCCCTGGCTGAGACGTCCTCGAAATTTGCCTGGTTGCATATTTGTTTGGCCTGGCTTGGGTCTGGTGTCGCTTCAGACGTCCTCAACATGTGTTTGGTATTGCCTTGGGTTGCCATGGTTTTGGGTCGGCTTCGCCTGAGACGTCCTCACAAGTTGCCTGGTTTGGCCTGTTTTGGATTGGTGTTGGGGCAGTTCCGCTGGAAACGTCCTCAGAATTAGCAAATGTTCGCCTTCGTTTGGCATGGTTTCGGCTCCGTTTCGCCCGAGGAGGTCCTCACAACTTGCGGTGTTGACTCGAGCTGGCTTACTGCCCAAGAGAACTCGTCGAATTTCTGTACGAGTGGGCCACATATGTTATTGTAGCCATGCGGTCTCAACGCAAATTGGGATGTGCCACGTTTCCTTCGACACTGAAAGGCGAGTAACACACGTCGTGGTTGGCGTGTGCAAACCGAAGTAATGGCACGGTGCCATGAATACCCATTGTGGTCCACATGAACACGATTGCGCTACAACGCGGCGGGCGGCATGGGTGTGGACATTCCAAACACGCTGTGGATCCGCGCTGGCATGTGTGGCGGCGTTAGGAGAACACCTTTCGGAGGCTGTAGTGAAGACGAGAGGTGTCACATGCGACGGCCTTCCTCTTCCTCCTCCTCATCCTCTCCTCCTCATCATCTTCCTCATGCTCCTCCTCCTCATCTTCCTCATGCTCCTCCTCCTCATCATCATTAACACAGCTGCCTGATCATCGTAATCATAAATATAATCAGCACCATCATCATAGCCCACAGCATCAACATCATCATCATCATCAGAATCATCACAATAGTCATGACCATAAGCATCGCCACAATCAATTTCATAATCATCGTTACCATCGTCATCCGCATCATCGTCGTCATCAACATCATAATCATCATCGTCATCGTCGTCCTCATCAGAATCATCATCATAGTCTTCAGAACCTTCATCTTCATCATAATCACCGCCACCATCGTCATCATGATCATGGTCATGATCATGATCATGGCCTTGACCATCATCATCAACAACCATCATGACAAATAATCACCATCACCATAAGCATCATCATCATCATCATCATCATCATATCATCATCATCATCATCATCATCATCATCATCATCACTCCCATCATCATCATCATCATCATCATCATCAACATCATCATCATCACCAACAACAACAACCATCATGACACATAATCGTCATCATCAGCAGCATCTGCATCAGCATCAGCATCAACATCAGCATCAGCAGCATCTGCATCAGCATCATCATTAGCATCATCATCACGACCACCACAAGCATCACCATCATCCCCATCATCCCCATCACGAGCTGTCGCACGCGACGGCCTCTTGTGCCCCCTCGAACAGTCGCAACCCGGAATGCAGGGCCGTCACGTCGGCGGGACTTGCCGCAGGCAACTGGACATCATGGCCCAGGACATGAACCCCCCACCAGTCCTCGCCCCCCCACCCAAACGCCCCCGCAAAAAAGTCCACCTGACCGATCCTGGCAGGTCCCATCCTGGATCCGGGATCTCGACGGATGCGCCCTCGCTGCTCGGACCGAGGAGGCAGGCATTCTGCACCGACCCTGGGCCCGGGATCTCGGCGCAGGGCAAGGTCGGCGCGGGTGCATGGCTGGCGTCCCCCGATGAAGGGCTCCTGGGGTGGACAAAGGCCCCTTCCTTAGCAAAACCCCCTTTCGCGAAAACGACCTAGGACAAGACCCAGCGGGCGCAAGCCCACACACACACACACAATGCGGCCGTGGCGCCCTCTCGACAACCGGAAAGGGGCAAGCCGCCAATCGTCCTGGCAGGGTGGGGCTTCTATCGACCTCCGAGGTTCGTATTTGGCCCAGCGCCATGAAGACGAAATGCATGCATGAACTTTCGGAAGTCCGCGCGGATGCCTTGGGTCGGCGCTGACCCATGCTGGACAGCCCTGGCGGCGCCTCCGGGGCCAGGCCCTGGCGCGTACCGCGAACTGGGGAAGAGGCGGTGACAGGCTGTGGAGCTCGGCGCCGACCCAAGAGATTCGTGTGGACCTCCGAAAGCTTATCTCTATGCCATGTGTGTCAAGCTGGTGTGTCAGCGCGAACCCCTTTTCGGCGCGTCGCCTATGGAACATGGGCTCACGTCCTACGAGACTTGATGTACGCATCCTCCTTGGCGCCACGGAAGCGATCGCACTCGGCCTCCCTCCTCCTGAACTCCTGGGCCTTCGCCTCGTCGCCAGCCTTCTCGTACGCCCACGCCATCGTGCTGTAGGTGATTGCGTTCGGAGCCACGCCCTTCGACTGCATCTCCTCCAGCAGCTGCGAGGCCATCTCCGGCCTCTTGGTCTTGGCGTAGCAGCTGATCAGAGCGGTGTAGGCGATGACGTCTGGCGCGGGCCCCTTGGCCTCCATCTCCCGGAAGATCTCCTCGGCGCGGTCGGGCCACATGCGCTTCTCGCAGGCACTGAGGAGGGCGTTGTAGGTGAACTCGTCGGGCGTGACGTTCGCGTCCTTCATCCTGCGGAAGAGGTCCAGGGCCATCCCCATGCGCTTCGCATGGCCGCACGCGGCGATGGCGGCATTGTAGGTGTAGCAGGTTGCCGTAAGCCCACTGTCCTGCATCTCCTTGAACAAGTCCATGGCAACGTTGCACCACTTGCACTTGCCGCAGACGCTGATCAGGGTCCCGTAGGTGTTCACGTCGGGGGGCACCTGCTGCTCCTTCATCTTCTCGAAGACCTTTATGGCCCTCTCAGCGTCGCGCATCTGCTCGCAGCAGCGCATGGCGCAGTTGTAGGCCACGACGCACGGGGACAGGCCCTCGTCCAGCATCTCCTGGAACAACCGCAGCGCCCGCTCCGCCATCCTGCTCCTCTCGCACGCCCGCATGACGGCCGCGTAGGTGACGACGTCTGGACTCGGGCCGTTCCGCCTCATCCCCTCCAGCACCTTGAGCGCGTCCTCTCTGGGGAAACCATCAGGTACCGAGATCGGTGCTAGCCGCTACTCCTCGGACCTCTCTCAGGGCGCATTCTGACCAGGACTTCGGGGCGAATCCAGCCGTGGCGACGAGGGCCTCCCCAAGAGGGCCAGGAGGGCGACGACGCAGGAGGGGTCGGCGGCATCGGTGCCTCTTGCCCCTCCGATCCTCGGGCGTCTTGCCCCTGCCGCAGGCGGCGATCCAGGCGTTGCAGGCCGCCGTGGTGGCTGGCACCCCGTCCTTGGCGGGCCCGGGCACACCCCGGCTGCACACGCCCGCGATCGTCGAGCGCGCGAGCTCGCTGGGCGGCGCGCCCTCCCCCTCCATCTGGCGGATCGCCTGCTGCGCGCGGCACGGGGGCAGGCCCCTCCAGCAGCTCGCCTGGAGAGGCAACAAGCTCGGCTGCACGCGGGGAGTGGCCCTGGGCAGGGGTGACCTCTGGTGCGCGGTCTGTGGGGGGGCCGCGGGGGGGCCAGACTGGGACCAAGCACAAGCGCGCAGGGCGCAACCATCGCATCATGCTCGGCGATCGGGGGGACCCAGTGGGCCTTCACCAAAGGTCACTCCAGCAACGGATCACTCTGACGTGCAGTCGAAAACATGGCATGAGCACAAAGGTTCGGAAACCCGCGCGGATGTCTTGGGTCGGCGCTGAGACACCCCGGGCCACTGGCGGCGGCACACCGGGCAGGGGGATCCAGCGCCGGTCCAGGCAAAATTCGAGCGAACCTCCGAAGCCTTCTGCTCACAGCCAGACCTAGGCCACAAGAACACTCCTCAAGAACATGGGACCCTCAGTCGGCCAAAACGCACGGAACATCCAAGGGTACCATCACCAGGATGCATCATAACGTCCAACGAGCACGAAGAACACTAGGGTACCCTCCACGAACCGACCTCGATCTTATTTCTCGGTCCGACAGTGTGCAGCTGTTGCTTCTCTTCGATCGCCAGGGAGCTCTGTGTGCTCGCAGAGGGCGCGACGCCGGCCTCCTCCATCTCGGCGAAGATCTGGAGGGCCCTCTCGGGATCCTGGCACATTTCGGCCGCCTGCATCAAGCTGGTGAAGGTGATGGCATTGGCCTTCTCGCCGGCCTGTTTCATGGCGTCGTAGACCTGCCAGGCGCGCTGCGGGTAGCAGCTCTGCCCGCACGCGCGGATCAACGAAGTGTAGGTGACGATGTTGGGGGTCAGGCCTCTCGCCTGCATCTCCACGCATAGCTCCAGGGCCTTCTCTGGCATCTGCCCGTTGCCGCAAGCGCTGATGAGCGCGTTGTACGTCACCACGGTGGGCACGCAGCCCTGATTCTGCATCATGTCGAAGAGTTCGAGGGCCCTCTCGGGCTGCTTTCCCTTGTCGCAGGCGCTGATCAGCGCAGTGTAGCAGGCCACGTTCGGCGCAATGGACAGCTGCCGCATCTCCGTCAGCAGCCCCAGGGCCTGAGCGCACTGCTTCGCGCGCGCGTGCTCCATGATCAGTGCGACGTACTTGTGGCTGGCCGGGTGCCCCCGGAAAGGCTTGGGGTCGCCATCCTGCACGGCGGCAACAGCAGCGCCCGGCGCCCGCATCGAGTCTCCCTCCTCGGGCCAGGGCGCTTTGAAACAACCGCCGCTCAAGTCGGCCCCCAGACCCCTCCCGGGGTCCAAACGCTCGAGAGTTCTCCGAGCTGCGCCCAGGCGTGGCGACGAGGGGCCCCTCCAAAGGCCACCGCCGCTGCCTCCCTTCGCCCTCCTCCAGCCTTGGGCTTCTGGTGCGGCAGGCCCCTGAGGCTCACGGCCGAGCCCTCGGCGGCGGCTGGCGCCCGAATCCTTGGAAGCGGCGGGCTGCGCTGCGGCGGTGGCACTTCCGCGCCTTTCTTCCAAGTGGCCTTCGTAGACGGGGCGCCCGTTCCCTTCGAGCAGGACCAGGCCGTCCGGAGGAAAGCCAGGGCGGCAACCAGCAGCTCGACATGGCCGCCCCCGCAGAGCGCCAGGGCGACGCCTGCTGCGGCGGCCATGCAGAGCCTGTAGTCCAGGTCCAGGCCCGCGAGCGTGAGGACAAACGCGTGGCCGCCCGCCTTGTGGGCCGTTGGTGATCCCTCCATGCGGGGCATCTCAGATGTGATCTGGTGTAGTTTGTTAATAAGTGGCTCGATGGCCAGTGATTCGTATCGTAAACGCGGTGATTGCTGTGTGAAAACACTAAATCTGTGAGTCGGAACAGCGGCTCGGGCCCCTGCTAGTCTCATTCGAGCCAAGAGGGAGGGCGGGATGGAGGCGATGGCGGGGAAGGGAGATCACAGAGCAGAAGCAAGAGCAGCCCGTCGTAGTCGGAATCTTGCGCGCCACTGGGGCTAGAAACATCGCGGCGGCTTGTCTTCGCCACCGTTCCTCTTCGGAGAGCGTCTCACAACCACGGGGCCATCAAAAAACGATCCGGATGAACAACTGGCCCCTGGGGATGGGTCGAGCTCCAGACTCCAAGGGCCATGTATTGAACGAAACACAACGTCGGAGGTCTCCAGAAGAGGAGGAAAAGGCTAAGAGGGAAAGGTGATGATGATGATGATGATGATGGTGGTGGTGATGATGATGATGATGATGATGATGATGATGATGATGATGATGATGATGATGATGATGATGATGATGATGATGATGATGATGATGATGACGACGACGACGACGACGACGACGACGACGACGACGACGGCGGTGATGAGTGTGATGATGAGATGGTGATGATGATGACGAGGAGGAGGATGAGGGCGGTAGAAAGAGGATAAAGAGGAGTAGGAGTAGGAACCTGGGCACGCAGTGTCCCTCCCTACGCCTACGAAGAAGCCCCTCCCCCTGCAACCCCTGAGGCAGGCCCCGAAGTCCCGCCTGTGAGGACCTTCTGGGCCGCCAAGACAGCCTTCGGAACCCCTTGGGGACAGGGGTGAAGCCTCGGGAGATGCGCGCAAAGTTCTCCTTGCCCTTACGCGATGGCTGACGCGGCTTGCACAGGTACTTGCAGTCAGTCGAGGCCGTTTTGCCGCAGACGGGACAGAAAAACATAGAAAACTCGAGCCAAGACTGCAAACAGAGCGAACCGTGCACCTCTACGCCGCCTAGAGAAATCGGTCCCTGGACCGCCGAAACACCCCTCGGGAAAGCAGAACCTCCCCCCCAGCTCGGGATGATTCTAGAACTCCTGGAAAACCCTCGACGAGGAACAGCCGCTGGAAATCATCCCGAGGCCAGAAAACCTCCAAGAATCGGCGGCGAGCGAGGGGGGGAAGTGAGAAGGAGAAGGCCTTTTCAGAAGGCTCGGAAGTCCCCGGCCTTCTGAGAAGTTTTCTAGACCTTCCCCGAAGACACAGGGAACCTCTCAGAAGGCGCGAGGGCTTCTGAGAAGTCCCGCCGCCTTCTGAGAAGGCCTCCTCCTCCTCAGTTCCCCCTTTCGCCCGCCGCTGAAAGAATCAACGAAAACTCCCTCCCCCCCCCCCCACTCCCCCTTCAGCGCCCCCCTCTTGGCCGGTCCCGAGGGCGCAGCAGCGACGACGCCGACTGGGCAGCGGCGGTGGCGGGGCGACGGCGGCGTTCCCGACGACGGGGCACAGCGCGGGGAGCCGCCGTGCGGGAGGCGCGAGGACGCGCACGCGAGGACGCGAGTGCGCCGCCAGGATATGACCACGTCCACTGCTGCTTGGGTCGTGCTCCGAGGACTCGGGGAGCGGCGGATACGGACATCTGCCCGCCAGCGCGGGCGGGCAGATGTCCAGAGCCCCCGCTCCTCGAGATCCCAGGGCACGACTCCCAGGCGGTGGATGTGGACATACTCTGGCGGTGGAGCGAGGACGCGCGCAAGCGCGCGCGCGCGCGCCTGCGGAGGCTGGTCGCGCGCTGCTCCATCAAGCTGACCTTCGGGCGCACGCTGGCATGGACGACAGGTCCGTGGATCTGACGCGCGGGCGCCAGATCCACGGATCGGGGAAGGGTCGTTCCGGCAACGTGGCGACGGAGCGCGCCGACCAAAGGAATCTGGACCCCAGGGGGCAGCGGGCGCCGAAGCCTCCCGACTGTCGTTCCTGGGAGCTCGCGCCTGTCCCAACCATCCTGTGGTGTTGAGTCCTCGTTTTGAAGGGGCAGCGCCCCGCGTTCCTTCCTTCCCTCCCGCTGCCCCCTCCCTCCTCCCCCTCCGCCCTCCGCCCATTCCAGCCGCCGTCCCGGCTCAGGCTTTGGGAGCAGGGCCGGTCCCTGCGAGCCTTCCCGGGACAGCTGCCACACGTGTCTGACCGGCCGCCATGGCGCGTGGCTGGGCGACCGTGGCAGGCGTCGCCTCGCCTGTGCAGCCCCACGCCCCAGCGGGCGGGCGGGCCGCTGGGCCAGACGCCACGCTCAGACCGAGGTCCAGAGCCCGCGTGGCATCGACGGGCACGCTCGCAGAGAGCAGCGGTGCGGGTTCTGCTTCGTGTCTCCGCCGCTCGTGCGCTACTCGACGCACGTCACAGCTCGATGCCCAAGACGCCACCTTTGGGCAACCGACGCCGCGTCCAACGGGGGCCAGTCTGCGCCAACAGGTGCTGCCAGCTGGCGTTGTGCGCAGTGTGGCACATCCAACTGGCCACCATCGCAACTCTGCCACCTCCTCCTCCTCCTCCTCCTCCTCCTCCTCCTCCCCCTCCCCCTCCTCCTCCCCCTCCCCCTCCTCCTCCTCCCCCTCCCGCCTCAACGGGGATTGCGACCTCGTGGCGGACGTTCACAGCAGCCGACTCGCCGCTCGGGCCATGGAGACCGAGATGCAGCCAGTCACCCACCACGCGGAGCCTCCAGGGAGCCAAGAGGAGCCGCCGACGTATCCATAGTACCCACGACCGCTATTCAGCCAGGAGGTGCAGCATCGGAATCAGCGACTACATCTTCTACAATGTCCATCCTCCCCGCCTCTCCCGAGACGGCCAAAGCACACGAGTGCTGGGTAGAGCCCCCCACGGGGGCCAAGGAATTGGCCCAACATCGCACACAGATCAAGACCACGCTCTCTGCGTTGGAGAGCCGCATTCTCAGCCGCCGCGCGTTGTGCGCCACTCCAGACCAGTTGAGACCACTCGAGACAGAGTACGCAGTGTTTCTCTTCATGCATATCAATGCTTACGGGGCGCGGGATCGAGTGGCAAATCAGGAGAGGTACGTACTCAGACAGGGCCAAGAAGCGTCTGGTAGACGCCAAAGACCGCGGAGGAGTCTGCTAAGATTGCGCTCACCAAGGCCACAGCCGAGGCCTTACAAAAGGACTTCGACCACTCGACCGACCTCTTGTCTTATTTCAATACCCTCCAGTACCAGGAGGAGACGGAAGCAGCAGCAAGCAGCAGCCGCCCGTGCAGAGGCAGCCCAGACTGCAGCCAGCGCGGAAGCAGCGGGTCACACAGTACAACTTGGCCCCATACCAATGGCGATCGACACGCCTCCTCCCAGCGCCAGACCGCCTGCTCCGCCACCGCCTCCGAGACCATGTCCCACCGACCCACCAACGGTGGTCTCTTTGCCCACCGTCATCACCGAGCTTCAGGGTGGTCAGCAGGCGCTCGCGCAACAGATTTCGACGTTGACTCTCACATTCGCGACTCTGCAGTTGACGTTACAGGCGGCGCTCCCTCAGACAGCCGTCTCAGCACATGCAGTACAATGCGGCCAACAGCCAGCCACAGTTATGCCGCTTCGCAACCGAAGGCACAGGCTCAGCCCGCAGCAGCATTCAACTCAGCAGCAGATCGAGTGGCGCCTGCAGCGACAGCAGTAGTGGCAGACGCTGGGGATGGAGTTGGGATCCGAGCGGGCTCGCTGTCTCCAGACGGCCTTCCCCATGTCACACAAGAGTTGGCTGATTTCAGGGCAGCACGGTCGGCTGCCGCGACCAGCGCCGCAGCGGCCGCAGCCGAGAACGCAGCAGCAGCAACCCTCCGCCATGGCCTCTTCAGCTCGGCAGCGGAGGACGCAAACCGGCAGATCGCACCAAGTGGCAGCAGCGGGCAGGCTCATTGCCAGGCCAGCTCGGCATCGCAGCGTCTTTAAAGCGCACTGCGGAGGCGCCACGAGTCGACGAACCAGACCCCACGTTCCAGATGATCGACAGCGAAGAGGTGGTCGCCCAGAGTTTTCAGGAGCCGAACGGCGTGGGAGCATGAATCCCGAGATGCAGGACTCTGACACGAGCATTCCAAGCCAACACCAGTCGGGACCTTCCCCTCCCTCAGAATCGCATGTTGCCCCGATTCGAGGATGTATGACCAGCCCTCTTCCCCATTCCCAATCGTGGATCCAGAAGTTGTGGACTCCCTGGGACTGCCAGCTCCCTAAGGACTTGCTCCCTCTCACCCAGCATTTACATACTTCCACTACTCAGGCCCTTCCAAGTCTTTCCCCCATCGAAGAGATCCGTGAACATCGTAGACTACTCATTTACACAGATGGATCTGGAGGAGGCAAGCTTGACGTATCTCATGATCGTGTTTCGCAGACGTCCAAGGGTTTACCCAGTTGGGCATTCTTGGTGTTTATGGAAGACGTCTCCAACAGTGTCGCCCTCCTCGGCTGTTTGGGCTAGCTCCTTCGACCCAGAGGAGATTCCGCCCGAGCATTACTCGTTCCTCTCAAAGCATTTCGCGGCCCAATGGGCCATGGCTTGGATCAGGCAATGACACGATTCCCAGGGGCAAGACTTTCACGTTGACATGTGCAGTGACAACCTCGAAGTGGTTTCCATCATCCAGGGATGGGCCACCCACGGCAATTTATCCGAGGAAAGGGTCCTGCTCGACAGCATGTCACGCATCATGCGCTATGGCAGCGTCGATACTTTCAGAGCCTGGCACGTTTCAGGACACTCGGCAGACCCGTGGAATGAGCTTGCGGCCACTTTCGCCGCACTTGCTTCGATGCAGCTGATTGACTTTACGCCGCACCTGTCTCTTGCATGGCGCGACCACCAGTCGGGAGCGGCCAAGAGGGGGGCGTCCAAGAGGGGGGGGTGCAAATCATGACCGGCGGCATGTGCGCGGCCCAGCGGGGGGGCCAGGGACGTAATGAAATAAGAGGAGGCGCCATGAAATCTGGGGAAACATCATGGCCCCCGCCATGATATCCACCCCCCCCTAGTCATCACCCCCCTCTTTTCCGCCCCCGAGCATGGCGCGACCACCAGCCTTCGGGGCAAGCTCCAGGACGGACGACGAGGACGACGGACGGCGGCTGACGACGCGGACGACGACGGACGACGACGACGGACGACGATGGACGACGCGGACAACGCTGACGCGGACGACGACGACGACGGCGGACGACGCGGACGAGGACGACGGCGACAACGACGGACGACGACGACGGGTGACGACGACGGACGGCGACGGAAAGACTACGGACGACAGACGACGCGGACGACGTCAACGACGACGGACAACGGCGGACGACGACGACGACGCACGACGATGAACGACGACGGAAGACGTAGGACGACGGCGAACGATGAGGACGGCAACGACGACGACGAAGGCGGACGACGACGACGACGACGACGACGGACGACGACGACGACGACGACAACGGACGACGACGGACGACGATAGACGACTGACGACGACGACGGACGACGACGACGGACGACGATGGACGACGACGACGGACGACGATGGACGACGTTCGACGGCGACAGCGACGGAAAACGCGGACGGCGACGACGACGCACGACGACGGACGACGACGACGACAACGAGGAACACGACGGACGACGCGGACGACTACGAGGCGGACGACGACGACGACGGTTAACGACGCGGACGACGACGACAACGACGACGACGTCGACGTACGACGACGACGGACGACGACGACGCACGACGACGCACGACGATGGACGACTAGCGACGCGGACGACGCGGACGACGACAGGCGACGGCGGACGACGACGACGACGATGACGACGCACGACGACGGACGACGATGGACGACGGACGATGGCGGACGACGACGACGACGTCGGACGACGACGACGACGACGGCGGCGGACAACGACGGCGATGGCGGCGGCGGCAGACGACGCCGACAATGACGGAGGGCGGTGAGCTGCGTGCGGCGCGGCGCGGGGCTCGAACAACGACTGCGGACGACGGCGACTGACGACGGATGGACGACGGACGACGCGGACGACGCGGACGGCGACGACGACGACGACGACGACGGCAAACGACGCGGACGACGACGACGATGACAACGACGACGACGACGGACGACGACGACGGACGACGATGGACGACTGACGGCGACGACGGGCGACGCGAACGACGACGACAGACAACGACGACGACTACGACGGAGGAGGACGACGATGACTACGACGGACGACGACGACAGAGGACGACGGAGAGGACAGACGACGACGGACGACGACGGACGACGGCGACGGCAGACAACGCGGACAACGACGACGACGACGACGAGGACGACGGCAAACGACGACGACGACGACGACGGCGACGACGACGGCGAGCGACGTCGGCGACGACGGACGACGGACGACGACGACGACGGAAGAAGAGGACGACGGAATACGACGACGGACGACGGACGACGATGGACGACCTACGACACGGACGACGACGATAAACGACGACGACGGCGGACGACGACGACGACGGACGACGACGACGACGGACGACGACGACGGACGACGACGACGGACGACGACGGACGACGACAGACGACGATGGACGACGGACGACGCGGACGACCCGGACGACGCGGACGACGACGACGACGACGAGGGACGACGACGGAGGACGACGACGGCGGGCGACGACGACGACGCACGACGAGGGACGACGATGGATGACGGACAACGACGAGACGACGATGGACGCCGCCGATGGACGACGACGATAAACGACGACGACGGCGGACGACGACGACGACGGACGACGACGACGACGGACGACGACGACGGACGACGACGGACGACGACGGACGACGATGGACGACGGACGACGCGGACGACCCGGACGACGCGGACAACGACGACGACGACGAGGGACGACGACGGAGGACGACGACGGCGGGCGACGACGACGACGCACGACGACGGGACGACGATGGATGACGGACAACGACGGACGCCGCCGACGGACGACGATGGCCGACAATGGACGAGTACGACGTCTGACGACGCGGACGGCGACCACGACGACAGCGGACGACGGCGGACGACGACGGACAACCACGAACGATGACGTAAGACGTCTGACGACGAACAACGGTGGACGACGCGGACGCGGACGAGGACGACGACGACGACGACGACGGACGACAGCACATGACGACGACGACGAACGACGACTTCGACGGACGATGACGGACGACTGACGCCGCGGACGACGACGACGACGCACGACGACGGACAACGGCGGACGACGACGACGGCGGGCGACGCGGACAACGACGACGGCGGACGACGACGACGACGACGACGCCAGGCGACGACGACGACGGCGGCGGACGACGACGGACGACGACGTCGGACGCCACTGGACGACGGACGACGGCGGACGGCACGGACAACGACGGACGACGATGAAGACGACGACGGACGACGACGACGACGACGACGGACGATGACGGACGACGATGGACGACTGACGACGCGGACGACGATGGCAGATGACAACGGACGACGACGCACGACGACGACAACGACGGACGACGGACGGCGGCGGACGACGCGAACGACGACGACAGCAGACGACGACGACGACGTCGATGGACGACGACGACGACGACGACGACGACGACGGACGACGAAGACTGACGACGGCGACTGACGACGACGGACGACGATGGACGACTGACGACGCGGACGACGCGGACGACGACGGACGTCGACGACGGCGGACGACGACGGACGACGATGACGACGACGCACGACGACGATGGACGACGGACGACGGTGGACGACGAAGACGACAACGACGGCGGACGACGACGACGACGAAAGACGACGCACGACGACAACAACTGACGACGACGGCGGCGGACGACGACGGGCGACGATGGACGACGGACGACGTGGACGACGCGGTCGACGACGACGACGACGACGGACGACGACGACGACAGACGGACGACGACGACGCACGACGAACGACGACGACGACGACGACGACGACGGACGACGGCGGACGACGCGGGCAACGACGATGACGAAGACGACAACGACGGACGACAACGACGATGACGACGACGGACGACGACGACGACGACGGACGACGTTGGACGACAGACGACGCGGACGACGCGGACGACGACGACGACGACGACGGACGACCACGGCGACGACAACGCACGACGACGGACGATGATTGACGACGGGCGACGGCAAACGACGCGGACGACGACGGATGGCGGACGACGACGACACGGACGACGACGGCCGACGACGACGACGACGACCACGACGGACGACGGACGCCGACTACGGGGGACGACGACGACGGACGACTGACGACGGAGACGACGCGAACGACGACGACGACAACGGCGGACGAGGACGAGCGACAACGACGACGACAACGATGGACGACGAAAGACGACAATTCACCACGGACTACGGCGAACGACGCGGACGACGACAACGACGACGACGACGACAACGGACGACGACGACGACGACGACGGCGGACGACGACGACGACGGACGACGACTACGTACGACGACGGACGACGATGGACGACGGACGACGACGACGACGGCGGGCGACGACGGCAACGACGACGGCGAACAACAACGAACGACGACGGCGACAATGCACGACGACGGAACACGATGGACGACGGCGGACGACGACGACGACAAGGCCGACGACGGACGACGACGACGACGACGACGACGACGACGACGGCGGACGACGACGGCGGACGACGACGACGGACGATGACGGGCGACGATGGACGACTGACGACGCGGACGGCTCGGACGACGAGGACGACGACGGCGGACGACGACGGACGACGACGACGACGACGCACGACAACTGACGCCGACAACGATGGACGACGACGACGGACGACGAACGACGACGATGGATGACTGACGACGCGGACGACGCTGACGACGACGACGACGACGACGGCGGACGACGACGGACGACGACGACGACGACGGACGACGACAACGAACGACGACGAGGACGATGTACGACGGACGACGGCGGACGACGACGACGGCGGACGACGACGACGACGGACGACGATGACGGCGACGCACGACGACGGACGACAATGTATGACGGACGACGGCGGACGACGACGAAGACGACGACGACAACGGATTACAACGACGTCAATGACGGACGAAGACGACGACGAACGACGGACGACGCACGACGACGGACGACGGACGACGCGGACGACGACGACGACGACGACGACGACGACGACGACGACGGCGGACGAAGACGACGACAGACTGCGACGACGACGACGACGATGGACGACGACAACGGACGACGGCAGACGACGCGGACGACGACGACGACGACGACGGCGACGGACGTCGACGACGACGACGACGGACGACGACGACGGACGATGACGGACGACGATGGACGACTGACGACGCGGACGACGCGAACATGACGACGACGACGACGGACGACGCACGACGACGGACAACGATGGACGACGCACGACGGCGGACGACATCGACGACGACGGACGATGGGCGGCGACGACGATGTGACGACGACAGACGGTGACGACGACGGACGACGACGACGACGGACGACAACGACGGACGACGACGGACGACGATGAGCGACTGACGACACGGACGACGCGGACGACGACGACGACGACGACGGCGGACGACGACGGACGACGACGACGGACGACGACGACGACGACGACGGCGGACGACAACGACGACGATGGAGGACGGAAAACGGCGGACGACGCGGAGGACGACGACGACGGACGACGACGACGACGACAACGACGACGACGACGATGGACGACGACGACAACGGACGACGACGACGGACGATGACGGACGACGATGGACGACTGACGACGCGGACGACGACGACGACGACGACGACGACGACGACGGGCGACGACGACGGACGACGACGACGAAGACAACGACGACGACGACGACGACGACGACTGACGACGATGGACGCCTGAAGACGCGGACGACGCGGACGACGACGACGTTGACGACGACGACGACGACGACGACGACGACGGACGACAACGGATGACGACGTGGACGACGACGACGACGACAGACGACGACTGACAACGACGACGGACGACGACGACGGACGACGACGACGACAGACAACGGCGAACGACGCGGACAACGACGACGGCGACGGCGGACGACGACGACGACGAAGACAACGGACGACGACGACGACGACGGACGACGACGGCGACAATGGTGACAGACGACGACGGACGACGACGACGGACGACGACGGACGACGACGACGGACGACGCGGACGACGGACGGCGGCGGACGACGCGGACGACGACGGACGACGACGGCGACGACGACGACGACGACGACGACGACGGACGACGACGCGGACGACGACGACGGCGGACGACGACGGACGACGACGGCGGACGGCGACGGACGACGATGGACGGCTGACGACGCGGACGACGACGGCGACGGCGGATGACGACGGACGACGACGACACAAGACGACAGACGACGGTGGACGACGGACGACGGCGGACGACGCGGACGACGACGACGGCGGACGACGACGACGACGACCACGACGACCCTGACGACGGACGACAATGGCGGCGGCGGCGGCAGACGACGCCGACAACGATGGACGGCGGTCAGCTGCTCGCGGCGCGGCGCGGGGCTGGGGCGCGCCGCTGCGGCGAGGCCGGGGGACTCCCTGGCGGCCTGGCGCAGCTCCAGCAGCGCCGAGGGCGCGGGCTTCGAGGACTGGGCCCCGACGGCTTCTTTTTTTTCCCCTCCCGAGATCTTTGGACTCGCCGAGATGGCCAAGATGGCCGGGGACTCGCCGAGATGGCACAGCCGAAGTAGTCGATGGCCGAGATCTTCGGACTCGCAAAAGCCTCGTTGGGCCAGCGGTGGCCGAGATGGCCGGTGACTCGCCGAGATGGCCGAGATGGCACAGCCGAAGTAGTCGATGGCCGAGATCTTCGGACTCGCAAAAGCCTCGTTGGGCCAGCGGTGGCCGAGATGGCTGGGGACTCGCCGAGATGGCCGAGATGGCACAGCTGAAGAAGTCGATGGCCGAGATCTTCGGACTCGCCATACAGTCGGACTTGATTGGAGAGGACACGCGAGCGGACACAACACCCTTTCGAGGGCCACATTGCCATAGGAATGCGAGAAAGCATGGGTCGCGAGGCACAGGACACTAGGGTACCCTTGATTTGGCAGGGTCGACCTACTAATCAGGGCCGACTCTACTTTTGTGGATGCCACGACAATGGACACCATAACAGTCCTATCATCGAATAAAAATGTGTTTAACATGCAGGAGAATGTCCAGAACATGTTTAACACATTAAAACATACTTAAAACAGTTTAAGCACATGTTTTAGACATCTGGAAATTATTTGGCAACGTACTTCATCTCCATTGATCGTCCTCGACAACTTTACTTCCTTAGCGGTGGAGTCTGTTTCTCAACCGACCTGGCTGGGATTGCTGGGCCTCCGCTCCGTGGGCGCCCGTGTTCGCATCGTGCTCGCCCGAGCGCCTGCTGGATAGTTCCAGGCTCTCTCCGAGTCGGCGCCCCATGGCCGCTCCGTGGGCGCCCTGGGCACCGGGTGGCTTTCCCGTGCGCATCCATAAACTAAACCCCGCAGATTGCACAACGTGGATCGGACTCCATAGCTTGCGCAACATGTATTGCACGACACGACGCACTGCAGAAAGCATGCGAAGCGGGCTCGGCGTCACACCGCAGCACGGGTATCCTTCACATCCTCGGCCTCGTCCTCCTGCTACCCCCCCTCGTTCCCCCCGTCGTCCTCTTCCTCCGCACTATCCTCTGCTCCTACTCGTCATCGCCCCCTCGTCCTCCTACCCCTCCTTGTCCCCGTCCTGCTCCTACTCCCATGCCGCCCTCTCATCGTCGTCCTCCTGTGTGCTGCCTCCTTCTCATTCCATTCCCACTCCTCCTCATCCTCCATCATGCCTTGTCCTCCCTGTCCAGATTCTCAACTCCTCATACTCCCCCTCGTCCCCCTCGTCCTCGTCTCGGATTGGCTGCGCCAGGATGCACACCAGCGCCAAGCAAACAACGGGCCGCATCGGATCGACATAACATCGGAATCAAATCGTATCGAGCCAGCTGTGGCCCGATATCGAATCGCATCGATCAGATCGGATTGATGCTCTTGCGTGGGGAGAACAAAAAACAATACGGCCATTTTCGCACTGCCTCAGGCCTCAGGACCATCGACGATCGATCGAGCTCGAAGATGACAGTGAGAAGGTACCATCAAGAGCTCCGCAAGCGCAGAAACCATCGACATTGATATTCGACATCTATTCTGGAGAACTGCCCTCCCGCGCCTCGGAATGCGCATTCCTCAACTCGGGGGCCTCCGGTAATTAAGGTTGTTTTGTGTTAGTATCTGGAGTCTCGCCGAAATGCGCTCAATAGGGGATGGTTATTAACGCGATGTATTTGTCTGCGCTGCCGACAGTCGCTCGATGTTTTGAGCTTTCGGCGACTCGGGGGAAGGGGCTTCATACCCCACGACTTCCACATGCGCGAAACCCCTCTCAATCACAGCAAACCACAAGCGTCGCCAATCGACGTCACCACCGCCGTCATATCATCACATCGTCATCGCCACTTTTCGAGATCCGCCCCAACAGCACGTCAATGCTGCCACTGGCGTCGTCTTTTCCATCGTCACAATCATGGCTGCTGTCGAGAGCAATGTTATTACAACTGTCATGTGCCGTTAGCATCATGCTCATGGTCGTCGTCGCCCGCCATCGCCGTCGACACTGGCACTACTATCGCAATACAGACAATCATGTGCATAGTGCTTCCCTTCTGTCCTCGAGAGCATTGACGGCATTCTGGATCGAGGTGATCGCTTTGGACATCTTGGCGGCCTCTGCCCGCGTCCGGGAGGGACACACAGTGGAGAGGACAGAGCACTCGAAGAGGCAACCTTGGGCGCCAAAGTTCGCACTGCTTTTCCCAAGCGACGCCACCCCTATGCTTCTCCAAATGCACGAAGAGTAGGGGGAAAACGGGAAGTATGGCTGCACAGCGCATGCTCTTATGGTAAGGCTGCAGGCGAGGCTCCTGGACTGCTGCACCCCTTATGCGGCTCAAACGGCTCGGAAACGCAGATGAGCAAGGGCAAAGGCCAGGGGGTAGAACCCAGCCGAGGGGAATGATGAAATAAGGCAGGTGGAAGAAGCACGTAACCAGCGAAACGGGGCCCAAACGCGTGCTTACACATCGCCACATGACAGGCCGTCAGCCAGATCCTGCATAACAGAACTGTCGAGAAAGCGAGAGAGAGAGAGCGAAACAAAAACAACAGGCGGTGATTGCGGGGGGCGAAAATGAAATACAAAACACTGGAGCAGAGGCTCATTGATGACGTGCTAGAACCCCTGGCTCGCGCGAAACGAACGGGAAGATTTACCACAACGGAAACCATTCGCTACCACACCCAGGCCGGATAACGAAGAGGACAAAAGAGGGAAACAATTACACGCGTGATACGGTTTGGTCCTCAATCCGCGCCCTCCGCAAGACGCTTGCAAAAGAAAAAATGCACAAAACAAAAACAAACAAAAAACGAGGGCCACGCGATGCATCCAAACTGTTTCCACATGTTGTTTAAAAAATCCGCGCCGCGCTGCAAGGCGCCACCGAAGATGGCAACGGAAACCGCCAAAACAACCCCAGGCACCCCCGAAAAAAACCCAAATTCCCCGCAGGCCTCCCGACGCCCTCCCCCCATTACCTTGCGACGTGCCCCACCCATTTGCAATGAGTGACACAAGGAATTGGTCTGGGACAGTATGGCACATGATAGCGCAAGATCTGTCACGGGTCGCGAAAGCTAAATGAGGACCGCGCGCGCTGCACGACTCACAAGACGACAACGACTGAAACCGCAGGTCCATAAAAGGAACTGAGGGTGGGAACGAAGGGCAACAGAAAGACGGATGAGGGGCCGACAAATTAACGCGACAGCTGCAAAGACACGGTAGAAGGAGGAATAGGACGACAGCGACAGATGCAGGACGAGGAAGGAGGGTGGCGATTGTTTCCAGGGGAACGTTGGATACGCAATGCGGCACGCGCCGTGTCGCTCTAGCGCTCCAAAAGGTCAGCTGTTCTTGGCGAGCGCAAGAACCGAGTAAGGTCGAGCACTCCCGCCAGCCTTTCCGCCTCCCTCTTGCACCTTTCAATGCGGGAAGCAAAAGCCCAGAGGCGCGCCGCCAGGTCAGCGAGCGGCCCGCAGGAGAGGGAATCGAGCAAGCGGGAGAGGGAATCGAGCAACAGGTCGCGTATCATCATCAGGCTGTCCACATTCGTCGCCCTGGAAAGCATGACGTAAATATCAATCCAGAAACCGTCCAGGTTCTCCGAATCCTTACGCCCCGCGTCGACGCTGACTCCGCGGCGCATTGTCCAACCCTGGCAAGCTGTGGACGTCAAGACCTCGGCGTGGGAGATGACAGGGTCGGCGCGCGTGACTTTATGCCTGCGGAAGCCGAACGGGTTCGAAGTCTGCGGCTCGACACTGACGAGGCCCGCCGCGTCCGAGGTGTCGATCTTATCACCGACCTCTGCGAGCTTCTTGCCGCAAGGACATTCCTTGTATTCGTCCGTGCGAACCCACACGCCGCACGGCAGGCACCGCACGCCCTCAGGATGGCGAGGTCCAATATGAGTCCGCGTAAGACGTCACTCCGCTGGGCCCGCCCACATCCTTCGAAACCACTGAAGGTTTCGCAGCTCGCAGCCCCATACGGATGGCGATGTCCAATCTGACTCTGCATAAGACCTCACTTTGCTGGCACCCCCCAGCAGCCCTCGAAAGTGGCGGCATTTTCGCATATCGCCTTTTCGCATATCGCAGGGATGGTGAGATCGAATCTGCATCTGCGCAGGACGTCAATATGCTGGACCCCCAGCAGTCGTGAAAGCGGCGACAATGTCGCAGATCGCAGCCCCCCCAGGATGGTGAGGCCGAACCGCGTCGAATTTAAATCTGCGTAAGGCGTCTCTATGCTGGCTCCCGAAGAAGCTCTCGGAAGTGGCCACAATTTCACATGTCGCAGCCCCCCCAGCGAACCCCCAGGCAGGACGGCGGGGTAGGAGGCATGGCAGCAGACAGGTAGAAAGCGGGAGAATAGAAGGGAGGCGGGATGCAGGAGTTGCGACCGCAGTGCTCCCTTCAAAACGAGAGCCCGAGGCAGGAGGGTCGGGAAACAAAACCACTGAGAGAGAATTGCCCTGCGATGTGCCCAGACCATTCGCATTCACTGACAAGAGGAGTTGGTCCGAAATCGTATGGCTGATGCCAACGAACAATATGTCATGAGTTGCGCAAGAAATATGAGAAGCGCGCGCGCTGCGCGACTCACAGGACAGTACCAGAGGGATGATAACTAAGGCCCCAGGCACGAAAAAGGATATGGGGGTGGGAAGGAGGGACAGGAGAAGCACAGAATACGGGCCGACAAATTCACGCGACAACAGCAGTGAAACGGCGAAAGGCGGAAAAGGACGACAACAAAAGAGGCAGGACGAGGAATGAGGGTGTCGATTTGTTCCAAGTGGCACTCTGGACAAGCAGCGCGGCCCGTGCAGTGTCGCCCTAGCGCTGCAAAATATCAATTGCCCATTGCTGGTGCAAGAAACAAGCGAGGCCGAACCCGCCAACAAGCTCCTCCGTTTCCTTTCTGCACCTTCCACTGCGAGGTCTAACCTGCTAAACGCCCGCCGGCGGGCCGCCAGGTCTCCGGGCGGCCTGCGGGAAAAGAAACCCAGGCACGCTTAAATCCGCATAGGGCGCTACTATGCTGGACCCCCCAGCAGCCCTCGGAAATGGCGACGGCTTCGCAGTTCGCAGACTCCCAGGGATGAGCAAGTCTCATTCGAATCTCCGTAAAGTCGTCACCGTGCTGGACACCCTGGCAGCCTTCGAAAGTGGCGACGGTTTCGCAGACCTCGACCCCCTAGGAATGATCAGGTCGAGTCTGAATCTGCGTAGGACGTCGCTATGCTGGACCCCCCAACAGACTTCGAAAATGGCGACGGTTTCGCAGACAGCAGCCCTCCCCAGGATGGTGATGTCGAGTCTGAATCTGCCTAGGACGTCGCTGTGCTGGACCCCCCAAACAACCTGCGACGCTGGCGACACTTTCGCAGTTCGCAGCCCCCACGGGATACTGAGGGCTAACATGGATCTGCGTACTACGTCAGTATGCTGGACCCCCAGCAGCCGTGAAAGCGGCGACAGTGCCGCAGATCGCAGCTCCCTAGGATGCTGAGGTCGAATCTGAATATGAATCTGCGTAGGACGTCAATATGCTGGACCCCCAGCAGCCATCGAAAATGAATACATCTCCGTAGATCGCAGCCTCCCAGGGATGGTGCGGTCTAGTCTGAATCTGCATAGGACGTCAACATGATGCCCCCCCCACCACCCCTCGAAGGTGGCGACAGGTTCGTGGATCGCAGCCTGCCAAAGACGTTCGCAGTTCGCAGCCCCTCAAGGGATGGTGAGGTCTAGTCTGAATCTGCGTAGAACGTCACTATGCTGTACCCCCTAACAGCCTTTGAACATGGCGAGGGTTCCGCAGATCTCAGCCCCGCAAAAAGATGGTGAGGTCTAGTCTGAATCTGCGTAGGACGTCACGATGCTGGCTACCGAAGCAGCCTTCGAAAATGGCGACAATGTTGTAGATCGCACCCCCCCAGGAATGGTGAGGTCGAATCTGAATATGCGTAGGACGTCACCATGGTGTACCCCCCAGCAGCCCTCGAAGGTGACGACAGAATCGCAGATCGCGGCCCTCAGGGATGGTGTCGAATATGAATACGCGTAGGACGTCACAATGCTGGGCCCCCCAGCACCCCTCGAAAGATCGCACCCCCCCAGGGATGGCGAGGTCATGTAGGACGACGACTTAGGAGGCAAGACGACAGGCAAGACAGAAGGCAGGATGGCAGGCAGGATGGCAGACAGGAAAAAGAAGGGAGGTAGGAAGGAGAAGGTGTGCGACCGCAGTGTCTTATTCAAAACGAAAACCCAACGCAGGAGGGCTGGAAACAAAGAAAACACGAATACTGGAGGCCACTGGATTTCTGGCGCCATGGCCCCGTGGATGCGCCTAACGGCCGCGGCTCTCTGGTACTAGCCGCCGGGCCCTCGCCGCGGTGGTGTGGGGGCCTCAGAAGGGGCCGTCGGCGCTAGACCCCCTGTTCGCCCCTCGAACAAAACGTTTTAGCCAGAGCATCCTACACCCCGTAACGTGGGTGAACACAGTGATCACTATGCCGCCCAGGAAGGATAAAGCGAAACACACATCGGACAAGAAACACAACCCACCCCAATACGCACGCCACCCCCCGTTGCGCTGAGTTGCGCGGGGGGGGGTGGAGTGGAAGGAGGAAGCCAGAACGCATCCCCTGACGGACCCGCCCAAAGGTCGCGCTTCTCGGGCTGGAAACCCTCTGGACGCCCCTCGAACGAAGGAGCAAGAAGCTCCCGATGAGGCGAAAACAAAAGAAATACACCAGGATTACCCGAACACAAACCTTCAGACGTCTCAGGGCCCGCTCTCTCCCTTGGGACACCCTCTCCCTCAATGGCGGCATCCCTCTTGCTCACGGCGGCCTCCCGTCCTCTTCCTCTTCCTCATGGCGACATCCCCTCGTTTCCCCTTCGCCTGCTTGATATGTTCGCAACGCGAGTGGACCCCCAGAGGTCCCGACACCGTCTCCGGGACCAACTTTCATTCCGAGCCGATCTCTGGCGGCCCCGAGGCCCAATTAGAGACCCCGAGCACCGACCACGAAATCAAATTAGTACATACCCGCATGCGTACATACATACATATATAAATATATGACACGCATACATAAATACCTACATGCATTCATTCATTCATTCATACATACATACATACATACATACATGCAAACGTGCATACCTACATACGTGCATGCATGCATCCATACATACGTACATACATGCATGTTTGAATACAACCATACAACCATCTGTCCACATATACATATACATACATACGCACAGACATACAAATCTACATTCATACATACATACTCACATACATACATACATACATACATACATACATACATGCATACATACATACATACATACATACAGATCTACATACATACATACATACATACATACATACATACATACATACATACATACACACAATCATACACACAAGCATACATGTCTACATACATATACGCATACATACACACAGACACGCTTATGCATGCATGCATATTTTCATGCATACATGCAACTATACATGCATATGCCTGTCGATTTCCCCAATGGTACAAACGCCGCTATCCGAATAGAAAACACCGCGCGTGCCTCCCGGGAAAGATACTACAGACAGCTGGCGGTTTCACGTCTCATCTTCGTCGCCGTCCTCCTCCACCTCCTCCTCCCCAGATCAGGAGAGCCCCTTCCCCTCTCTCGCGGCTTCTCCTGACGTTGTCCACGTTCTCGAAGGGATGTTGTTCGCCCCTGTGTCTGGGAAATGTTGTGATGTGAGACGATGCCAAAACATGGCCAAACCGAAATTCCACAAATTGACCCTTGGTCTCCCCACCCGCCTCGTTTCGTAGTCTTTGAGTCGTAGTGTATCACTATGATGCGATGGGATCAGAAGGCTGCGCAATAATGACTTCGGCGATCAACATGCGCCGTCGTGCATAGTGCTCGCTGATTGGCTTTATCTCCTCAATCGGTCAGAACCCTCGGTCATTGGCCCTCGCTCTACCTCCCCAGATGTCTACTCTTTCGCTAACACAGCGAAGGCAAATTCGCTAGTGCACGCCATCGGTATGTATGTGTATACACGTGTATAACCACATATATATACATACATGTGTATGTCTATAAACATATATGTATATATGTGTGTATATACAAATGTATATGCATGTGCATATATATATATACTATGAAAACCATATATATATATATATAGCCATATATAAACATATCGATCCTAAAGCTGGACCAGAGAGAGCGATGCAGAGAGAGGCGAGCTCACCTGTTTCATCTGTCGAACGGCGGTGGATGCTCCCGGGAGACATGTCATCACTCTGGCCCCCGTGAAGAGACAGTGTTAAACATAGGATTGTTGAAAATTAGCAGAAAGAAGGAGGGGAGGGATGGAGGAGGCAAAACGGCCACGGAAGGACCGGGTTAGAGGGGTTTCACCCTCTGCGGCTCGGACGCTTTGGCAGGAAAGCCGTTCTGAGAACAAACAATCCTAACGCTAGACCAGAGAGAGCGATGCAGAGAGAGGCGAGCTCACCTGTCTCATCTGTCGAACGGCGGTGGATGCTCCCGGGAGACATGTCATCACTCTGGCCCATACCCATTATATGACCTGGGCCGTCATGCTACAAGTTCCCTTAGGTGCTGGAGCCCCCGCGATTCACGAGAAGTGACGATCCACTGAACTAGCAGCTTGGCGAGGGGGAGCGGGTAGGGTTCAGCGATTTTCGTCCAGTGGATGTTAGAGCGAGGCCGACGACCACGAAGATGAATGTGAGGCAACTTCGACCGGCAGCACGCTTTCACTGAGACTGCTGGATCCTCCGATCTCATGGGGGTGCATTTTCGCTCAAGCCCTGGCGGCGGCAGCACCACCGACCAGCCAACAAATCGTGTTCTCTTTTGCCAACGCATACCGAACATGCAGAAACCACAGATCATATCACGGCCCTTTGGCAGTAGCTGAGACATCGAAGGTTCGGACCAAGCAAGGGACGTGTGTGGGTTCTCTGCGATGAGGGGAACTCCAAAGCGGATACATCGGCGGATAGTACTGATAATGAAGTCAAACGTGCCATTGCCTTCTCAAAGTTGTTCGGCATCACGCCCAGACAGCCCAAGCACCCCACGAGGGTGCGAACGAGTCCTCAACGGCGGTCGTCTAGCCCGAGACCAGGTGGTACACGGAAACCATCCGATGGCCCCGCGGGTCTGCTTGCTCCTGATCCACCCGAAAACGACCTGCTGCACTGTGCGGCTAGTAACGTCAAACTCGGCACCGCGCTTCAGGTCGAATCTGATGCAATCAACGCTTCCGACGCTCTCAAAATATCTGGCTGCAAGGCACGAACCAGAGAAATGGTCCAGATATACAGATGCCGAGCCAGCTTGCTGCTTAGCACGTCGGAGGTGTGAATTAAGCCGAGACCGAATCTGCCCTGAAGTCAACGCTGCGGCACTCGCGCGCGCTGCAGCTGAGAGGTGGGGAGCTCTAGGGGCGACCGCCCGCCCCGGAGGAAGACCGCCAGGTCCTGGTTGGTGGAGGTGCCGTAGCGGAGCACGGCGGGAGGCAGCTTGATGGCTTTGCTGGCGACCCGCGTGCGCTGGCTGTAGCGGCTCGCGCTGGCGTTGGCCTTCCAGCGCTCTTGGCGCTTGATCTGCTCGAATGTCTGGCGCTTTGTGAGACTGTCGTAGCTGGCTCTTCTGTGGCAAGAGCACAGCGGGTCTGGGCGCAACCTCGGCACGCCGCTGGGCCCCGCTAGGGTCCCGACGTGCTCCGAGAGCAGCAGCCCGTTGAAGGTCCAGAGCATGCCCTGGCTGGCCTCGTGCCTCAGCTCGAGTAACCTGGGCTCCAGCTGCTTCACTGCATCCCAATCCAGCGCCACGCTCTCGTTGAACTCGTCGGTCTTGCTCCCGATGCTCCTCTCTGCGGGCGACCGAGGCAGCATCCAGAGCCGCGTCGCCAGCCACGCCACAGGGGCCACCAGCAGCGGCCCCCTCTACTTGACCAGCTGCGAGGGCCTGAGGTAGCCGAAGGAATAAATCAAGAGCACGGGGGCAGCGCTTCTGAGGCTTCGGCAGATGCGCGTGGGCGCAGCCGGGCAACCCCTCCTGAGCCGTAGGTACCTGTACTCCAGCGCTGCACGCAGCTTCAAAGCCGCCGAGTGGTTCTCGCCCTTTGAATCTGGGTACTCCCAGTAGCCCATCGAGTAGGCGACCAGCTCCCCGGTCCTCCGCTCGCGAATGGCGATCCCCGCCCAGCGCTCGAAGGTGGCCAGGTAGGCGTCGTAAAAGTCCGCGGTCGCGCCGCGGACCGAGCTGACTTCCAAGAGAGGGGCGCCCTGTTCTCTGCACAGCTGGGCGCTCTCGAGGTGGGCGGCCCGCCGATGCCGCCGCCGGCGCTCCCAAACCGGCATGCCGTCTGCCGTGACCATGCCCGTTGGCAGCGGCTCGGCCGGCCGGGTCTGGCTCCGAGCGGCTGGGGCAAGCGGCCACGGGGGCGCCCCGCCTCCTGGCCTCCTGGTCGACAGCATGTCGGAGCGCCGAAAGAGAGGCGCCCCCCGCCGAGGTGGGTCACCGCCTCTCAACGTCGCGGAGGTCTGGATGTTCCCGAGCTGGCCCGCGATCCTTGAGCCTAGTCCCGCGGTCAGCGAAATTGACCTCGGGTGGGGCCCAGCGATAGAAGAACCTAGACCCTGTGGCGATCGATAATGCTCCTGATTCTCTCTGCGCGTCTGATTCAAATCTGGATTAGCTGCGCGACCCTTCGACAGAGCAAGAACGAGTGATAGATTGTCGCCAAGAACGAGATGATCCTGACCGTGATTTTCAGCACAACGGAGCACGCGGCGGACCCCCACGATCGCACCACGCCCCTCGAGACGGAGGATGCGCTCCTCAGCGCCCCAGCGCCCACGCACGCGCAGCTGCCAATCCTCCTGGCGCCCCGCGAGGCTGAAGGGGATCTCCACGAAGAGGTGCCCGCCGCTGGGCAGGCCCGCCTCCGCGGTCGCGTGGTCGTCGATCTCCCCCTCGAGGATGCTGGTCATCGCCGCGAGCTCGTACGCCTCCAGCGCGCGGCGGCGAACGTCAATGGCGTCCTCCAGTGGAGGGCTGGCGCTACTTGGTGGAGTCCACCAAGTAGCGCCAGCCCTCGGCGATCCTGCAAGCACGGCTGGCGTCCGCGACAGGGGCCTCCCGCTGCACCACGGCGAAGCCGCCAAAGTCGCTCTCGTCCTCCCCGGTCGACGCGTCGGTGGCGGTCACAATGGGGCTGCAGGACCTGCGTGCGTCAGTGAAGGCGAATACGATCAGGGAGCACATCATACGGAGCTCGGTCCTCGCGGAGCCCCAAAGCTTCCATCTGGCGTCGCCAGCCTCCCATGAAGCGGTGGCAGGCGTATGGCAAGGCCAACAACTCCCTTCGCATGAGAGCAGCCCACGTAAAGTGGGCGACCAGCAATTGGAGTTCCCTCCCCGTCATGCGGCCAAGTCCCAGCGCGTGCAGGCAGGCCAAACGAACCCGCCACCGGCGCTTGGACGCGACCAAGATGGTGCCAGAGTCGGAGTCGAGCAGAAAGCCTGTGAACTCCTGGCGGCCCCCAGCGGGCTCGACACCCTTGCAGGCCAGCCCTGCGCGCTCCAAGGCCACCAAGGCGTCGTGGGCCTCGAGGTCGACGCTGGGCTTATCCTGTCCGAAGATGCCGACGTTGTCCACGTAGACGGCCGCCCTCGTGGCCTCTGACCCCAGCTCGCGGAAGTTCGGGCTCGCACGCTTGTCCAGCAACATGTCGGACTCCGTGAAGCCCACCGACATCGCCGCCGTGCTCACCATCTCCCGGCAGAAGTACAGTGACCACGACCAGCCCATGGCGAGAACACAGTCGAGGAGTGGCCCTCTTACCCGACAGGCCCCAGGCTGCGACCGGGTTCACGGCGCGCAGCGACTCCGCGCCCACCGGCGGCAGCCTAAAGAACCTGCTGAGGCCTGGCGGGGCCCTCACTCTGAAGAAGGCGTTGTGGACGTCCATCTGAGCAAGATACAGCGGGGCGTCAGCCCTGGTGCGCACGGCTGCCCAAGCGGCAGGAAAAATAAGATGCGTGTGCTTCGGCTTTGCGAAGAGGCTGTTGACGCACCGCGTGTCCAGGATGAGTCTGAGAGTGTGGTCCTTCTTTGAAACAAAGAAGACGCCGACTGTCGGGTCCTCGTAGTCCCCAAGCTCCAGCATGTTAGCGTTAAACAATGATGAGCATAATCTAGCATATTCCCACTTGTTGTGAATTAGGGCATCATCCGAATGAGGCTTCTCGGGGACACTGTCATTGGGGGCCGGCTCGGGCGCCAAGAGGAGCTCGTGCCACCGGCGCCAGAAGTCGAGTGCAGCTCCGCGTAGACAAGAGCTGCCGTCAGTCAGGCTGCCCTCCTTGGGCAACGAGACCAAACCTGGCTGGTACCTCGACTTCGGGGCGTCGACCATGTCGTAACCTGGTCCCGCTCGGGCGCCGCAGAGCTCATGAAAGGCTTCCGCGGAGGTGCAAGTAGGCGGGCCAGAGGAAGCCACCAATTCGGAGATGCGCTCCAAGACCTTCATCTGACTGGCCGACGGCTTGTGGAGCCCTGAGTCGAAGTCCGAGCAGCCGTACCTGCGGTTGAGGCTCCTCGTCGTCTCATTGGCCCACAAACGCCAATTTATACTCGCGTTGGCTCGCTTGCGGACCGCACGGCATCCAGCCTAGCTGTCCAAGAACCTCCCGATGGAGGTAGCTGGGAAAGGAAGAAGAAGAAGTGTGAAGAGTTCCCGCGGCACGTTCATGGTGGAAGCCACGTCGTGCTGGCCGCTCTGCGCGGCGTGCTCTGATGGAATGCCCAGCCAGGTCGAGCAGTCCCAGCCAGGCGCACAAGCCGAAGTAGGAGAAGGGGCTAGGCCGCCCCCTCCCCTCTGCCGCTGCCCCTCTTAGCCTTCCGCTTGGCCACGATCCCGTAGTCCATGGCGTCACCCAGGCTGGGCGTAGAAGCATGGCGTAAAGGCCTGATCAGATCACGATGCTCCATCCGCCCCCAACTCTCCATCAAGAGGGATCCCTCCTTCTGCAGGTTCGAGGAGATGTCCTCCTCCAGCACTGGCCCGACCCTCACCTGAACGCAAGTGGCGTTCGTGACCATGTGCATGTACTCGTTGGCCTCGTAGCCGTGGGCGACGTCTACCAGCAGGAGCTTCTCCTTGTGCTTGAGCTCACAAGGCTGGGCCCGCGCCCAGGGCAACCCTGTGCAAGCGAGCCTCGCCACGTTCAGCTGGTCGTAGAGCACGACGTGCTCGAGGCAGCGCATCGCCCCTTCGAGCTCAGCGATCACGACCTCCCAAGGGCCCAAGCCGACGTCCCTCTTCCACAGGGAGTGGCGGGCCCGGGGGTATCCGTCAGTCTGCAGGATGTAGTTGCAGCGCCCCAGCACAGCGCCTGGACCCGAGAGCGGCCATCCGCCCCAGTCCGAGCCGGAGAGCTGGCTGACTTCGTCCCTGAGGCCTTGGTAGCGGACCCCTTGTCATGGCGCGTCACGTTCAGCAGGCGGGCGCCGAGCTCCGTGGGCGCGGCGGTGCCACGGTGGGCCTCAGGACCCTCGAGCACCTCCAGGTCCCATCAGCTGTCGCCCTCCTCCACGTCGCACCTGAAAGAGACCAACCCGTCGACCAGGCGGCCAGGCCCCTGGCTTTCCGCCTTCACGTAGTGATTGTAAGTGACCCCGCCAGCGCCGCTGCGAACACCTCCCCGAGACGAAGCCAGCACTCGCCAGGCACTGCGCCCAGGGCGCGAGAGCGGCACAGCCTCTCTGGTGAAGCCACCCGCAGCCGGCGGGGCCCCTCCGTCATCTGGGTGGCCGCCCCTGTCGACTTTCTCCTCGACCTCGCGTTCCCTGAGGGCCTCATTCGTCCCCACGAAGGTCGACGGGACGCCGAAGCCGGGCGCGTGAGAGAGGAAGGACGCGGTTCCCGCCAGGGGCTCGGCTGTCTGTGAACCGTTCGCCAGCGTCGACAGCAAACCCGAAAACTGGCCGGCCACCCAAGCCTCTGGATAGACGTCCGTGTCTGGAGTCACGATCCCCCTGCAACCCGTGGAGCAGAGCACGAGGAGGCTCACTCCAGCGAGCGGGGCGTGCATCTTCTTGCTCGTCGGTCGGACCCGCGGCCGCTTGTGCCGCTCGCGCTCCCCAGCGTACCTCACCAGCACGCGTGGGCCCAAGGTCACACAAGAGGAGTCGAGATGCTTGCCAGGCCCCATAACAGTATCCACAATAACAGCACCCGACCAGCACTCCAGTCACAAAACAGACCACCGCGATGGTGTGATCGCTGCCGAAGACGGCCTGCTGGAGCGCGCAATCCGCGAACTCCTCAAAGACACCTGGCGACGCCCGCGATGTCAGGCGGCCGAGCGCAGCGGCCACGGGAGATGCGGCGCCGAGGAACTGCAGCATGCGGACCGCCGAGCGAAGCGAGCTTGAGCCAAAACGGCCACGGAGGGACCGTGTTAGAAGGGTTTCACCCTCTGCGGCTCGGACGCTTTGGCAGGAAAGCCGTTCTGAGAACAAACAATGTGTACATATGTCTATTCAAATACATGTGACAATACATTTCTGCCACCATGCCCTTGAGGCGCGAGCTGGAGTGTTCTCAAGTCCCTTGTTGGATCCCCTGGAGCCTCAGTCCTGAATCTGGAAGGTTCTCTAAAGGGGCCCAGACCCAGAACTGCCAAATCTTGCGGGGCACGTCGCGCGGACCCTGGGGCCCGTCGCGCCTTCGCGCGCGAATGTTTCCAAGTCCAGGAGGGCCCCGAGACGGGCCAAGAGGGTCCCGAGATGCCTCCAAGACGGTCTCAGAGGGCCTCGAATCGCCAATAAATTTGTCCAAGACGCCCAAGATGGCCTCCCGTCGGCGGAGAAAGCGCCCAAGACGTCCCCAGAGGTCCTCCACTTTTCGTTCGAGCTTCCGACGCTCCAAGACGGCTGAAGAAGCCTCCAAGACCGCCCAACGAGGCCCCCAAGAGGGCCCCCTGACGGCCCAGGAGGGCTCCAAGACGGCCCCACAGGCGCCCAAGACGGCCCAAAGACAGCCCCAAAAAGGGGAACACAGACGGAAAATCCGAGTCTTCCACCCCAAGATGCCTCCAGAGGCCCCCAGGAAGCGGCAGGGGGCCTCCAGAAGCCCCCAAAGAGATCCCCAAGAGGCTCCCAACACGCCCAGAATCCCCCCAGGCAGCTCCCCAAAGTCTTCCAAACTGCCCTCGGAGAGGCCCCCCGCGACATCCCAACGAACCTCCTCGAGGCCTAGGACTTACACCTCAGGCACGGTGGCGGGATTGGCCGAAGGCTAACATGTGTATATGTATACATGTATATATATATATATATATATATATATATATATATATATATATATATGCACAATTATCTCTGTCTCTCTATCTCTCTATATATGTATATACACATGCACATACACGCGTGTGCGTTTGTTTGCGTCCTCTCCTGGGCCCTCTAGGCTACACGTGGTAGATGTACTTAGGCGCGTGTTGGGTATATAGTCTTTCCTCTGAGAATCGGGGTAAGATGCCAAAGGAATTAAGATCTCATGTTCACTCTGCTCAGGGAGAGAGGGGACGGGATGAGACATCGATAAGACAAGTATCCGGTAAGCAAATTTACTATATCAGGAATGGTAAGGGAGGTGGCCGGCCGGCCAGCGACGCGACGACGACGCGGGGGCGACCCCGCGGCGCGCGCGAGCGGGCTAGCTCGCACCTTTTCTCTCCTGCAAGCAAACGAAGAGCTTGCTTGAGTAAACAGCAACTGCAGTATGCAGCGCAAGTTCAAGTCAGACAGTGCACAGCATGCAAGTGTAACAGCAAGCGACATTATTATGAGGCGGAGAAGAACATATTTACTCCCCCCGCGGCGGGCCTCGTAGAGCCCATCCGGCCACAGCACCCCTGGCCTATACATATACACAACCACCGGAGCCAACCGCAAAATAATTTTCACGGCTCAACGGTGGCTGCTAGGGGGCTAAGGGCCGAAGAGGCCCGACGACTCCCACCATCATATAAATAAGTTCTCTCCGCTGGATCGGCTTAGCCGACCAGTAGAGTCGCTTACCCGCCCAACACGCGTGCCGCGTGTGGACGAGAACTTCCTTGCATGCGCCTGCCACGACTAAGTCGCGTGGGCGGATCTCACCCCAGCTCCTCCCGCGGGTTCTCCTCTTCCGTCGGTGGCGCGGGAGGCGTCGGGCGCGACGGCGCCGAGCCTCCAATCTGTCCGTCTCTGCCACGAGGCGTGCGGGACCGTCCTTTTCCTTTATCAGTATAATATGCAGTACTGTAGTTCTTCTCCTTGTTCTTGGACGCCTTCCCCTTCGGCGGGAAGTGGTAGTCATGTTCCAATGTAGACAGTGTATGCCAAACCTCCAGCGCCCACCAAACCCCGTCGGGCAACCACGTGATCCGGTCCCGGTGGATGTAGTACCCGACCTGAACATTGTTCACGTAGTGCGGTTAGGACACGAGCGGGTCGTAGCCGGCAGCGCCGCGGCCCGCATCCATGGCTCCATCCCGCGCGCTGGGGCACCGACCGATCCCAAGCGTCGGAATACCATGAGTATTCCTCTCTTGTCGTCGCGGCTGTGCCGGCGACAGGATGCGGGGATTCGGTGGCGTCATCAGATGCCCGAGCGTCTGAGACGCTGGGTCTGCGCGGTCGAGGTGGTGGCAGCGGTCCGGCTTTCACCTCATCCTGTGCTCTTATTGGTCCCACGGGGTCGGCTTCGCCGCCGCGGTGTGGATTATCATTTCTGTTCTCGCGATCTCGCCTAATTTTTAACAAACTCCTAGCAGCTGTAGCTACTGGGATGCCAAATCTTCCGCATGCAGTGCGGAATGGTCCTGCGTCTTTATCCTGGAGTTCTGTCCCAGGATCTGTATATTTGTCCTGAAGCCAAGAAACGGCCTCTTGTAACAAAGCGCCCTCGCGACGGACGTCGGTCTGCACCTGCCTGCCCAAATTACGGGCCCATTCCTCTATTATGTTGTCCGTCTGGACGGCGGCGCGAATGCGGCAGTCAAGAGCACATTCATCTCTCCGTCGCATCATGCCAATGGGGTCCGTGCTCTTTCTGCCGGGGCGAATTCTTCGCCCCGGGCAGCCGACAAAGTGTCCATCTGAAATGAAGGAGCTCACGGTCTCGCGAACGATAGCAAACATTCTTATGGGCCGAAGACCAAGTTGCATGTGCTGCACAGAGGCCAACCAGTTTCCATCAACTATGCTTGTGACAATGGGTGGGACCTCATGTTCAATTTCCCCTTTGCAGTTGTATTCTATCGGGATCATTCGGGTTTGGGCGTATGCCTTTGTATTCGATAACACATTGAGCTGCAATCGCCCTAGCCTCCATCCCGTGCAACAACATATTTACTGAATGGTCTTCGCAATGGTTATATGCATATCCTTCGGGCTGGTCGAGGTTGATCGCTCCTCCGGTTATCAGCGCGGCCTTAGGAACGCTGGTCGCCGAGAAGTCCAGTCCTATCTGCGATTGTTCGCCTGCCCTCGCGGCTGCGCCGGTGGCAGGTAGCAGTGCTGGTATTATGAGGCGATGGTCCCGACATTCGTTGATCCGTCTTGCAACGGACTGAGAGCTTCGAGTCGGCCTCGCCCCGAAATTGTTCTCCCAGGCAACTGGCAATCGTTCGCGAGGGTTTTGCCCGCTAGGGTTTTGTCCTACGTATTCCACGACGTCTTCGTGCTGCACAGGCAACCATGGGTGTCCCCAAGGCCACCGCGTCATCAATCGTTTGAATCGTCGGAACGAAGACATTTGTTCTGGTCATCTGGTCATACCATCTCTCCCAGCCTATCACAGGTTCGACTATGTCGTCCCGTGTATTTGGCCAGTCGAAGGCTGCCAGAGCTGGGCAAGATATTGGGCGAGCGCGTTGGTCAATATTCGTCTTCCATAGCAATGGCCACCAGGTCTGGATCGCAGGGGTCTGCCTTCTCACTCTCGAGGCTGAGTACGCAAGCCATTCAATGAACCTTCTGACCAAGGGCCTCAAATACTGGAAGACAGGGCCGTGGCGCGCCGGCGGCTGAGCTGCGGCGTCCGTTGGAACCCAAGCAGGGAAATTGCCCGGCAGGCTGTTGCCGAAGATCTGGCCTGTTGCAGCCATTTTAACAAATTCCCCATTCGCCCACTTTCGCTCCTGCTGGTGATTACTGCTGACGTTCGTCATTACGAGCGCAGAAGCTCTCTGTTGTCTAAGCCCACGCACATTGATCCAGTCGGGACGATTCCAGGGAAGATTGGTGTGATCTCTCACATGTAGTCTAAGTCCATTCGCCTCAAGTGATCGCGGGATCACCTGAAAATTCCACGCCTGGGACATATAGTCGCGTGTGACTCCGTGCTTGTATTTAATCCGACAGCTGCAGACCGGACAGTGTTCAAAGCCCGTTCTCACCCAGTGAAAACGGAAGCATAGGAACCTTCCATCATCCTCCCAAGGGACGGATAGAACCCGTTCCTGTACTTCGGGCGACAGCTCTGGCCAACGATTCCGAACCAACGACAGAGTCTCGTCAGTGTGAATCCAAGCAATAATCGACTCGTTGTCAAAAGTCACTTCGTACGAGGCCCACTCGCGATTGAAAAGTACTGACCAACGCATCTGGTTCGTTTGTCTAACGAGGGTGACGGCCTTGTCAATGTCGGTGAACCTCGGCACCTCTCGGGACACTAGGGTCCCGTCTGGGCAAATCCTGCGTGAGAAGCGAGTGAGCACTCGGCCGGCGAAAACAAGAATAAGCTCCCAGGATTCACGGTGGTTGGGAAGTTGTTCCCATAGATGGATGGTGTCGTCTGCGGGCCAAGTCCCCACCGATGGCGGTTCTCCTCCCTGTGCCTCGCGTCCCATGGGCACAAAAATCCTTGGAGGGGGAGTTTCTCCGTACCTCCGCTGGCTGAGCCACGAAAAAATACGTGTGGGATCAGGCATTGTTGGGCTCATTTTCGTCGGAAGCAGCCTCAGCAAATCATAGTCTGCCTCGCGACAGAGCCCTGAGTCTCTCTCTTCGGAAAGCGTACTCTTCCATCCGTAGATTCCCAAAATGTCTGCATGTCCGCGATATGAAGAAGGGATCCATGACTCCTGACTTGGCCAGGGTCA